AAAAGGTCGCAAAAATAGTCTTTTGTGTTAAAATTGTCTACAGTAGTAACAATAATTCATATAATGACGGATTTTCCACAGCACTTAAATTACAATACAAGATATACTCGTATATAATCAGTACTTCCGTTGGCTATTTTTTAAATGCAACACAATATAAAAATAAATACGATTGTAAGAGGATTGTTGTAATTAATGTATTATTTTACGCTCCTTACTTCCAAATAAATTATAAATATAATAATAGATAAATACAATAATAGATAAATGCTTGGAAATAGAAATAAATAAGGAAACTATTTTTGTCTTTCACTAAATAATTTAAACGTTTTCATTGGTGTAAAAATATTCGAATCGTTGAATTATTGACCGGAATATTGATCGATTCGTGGAAAATGGTTTTAAAAGCTTTGAGTATGTAATGCAAGTCTTTACATGACGTTGAAAAATTTACCGTGACTATCAGATCTTTTCACCTTAGTCATGCTGGTGAACATCTCAGCATGTACCCAAATAAAAATCGGATAAATATAAAAAAGGCTATATTCYATTAGTAGTGTTTTTAATATTTTCCCAGTCGATTAGTCCGAAACAGTCACGGATTAAATGCCACCGTTAGCAAGTCATTTCATTAAGTGTCAATTAAAAAAATCGTGTAAATGACAAACCCTGGCCGCTCCCGCGTGTGGCATGTGGAGTGCAATAGCATCTGCAGTGCAATCCTAAGAATTTCCGTTTATGATGTAACGGATTAATTCGAATGGTCGCCAAAAGAAGCTCTACTAGGATGATAGAAAACATCGGCGAAATTTCGTCGCGACTAGGGTCAATTTTTAACGATTTTTTTTTCAACAACCGGTCGTCGGGGTGTGGAGATAATGGCAAAGTTGGCCGTTCTCAGAATAGGTGGGCAAGTTTTTTATTCGAACAGCAATTCGATATTCCATTAGGTTGCGCTGACCAAGGGGGCGTCGGGACAGCTCATTGCTTAGTTCAAAGAATTCCAATGATGAAAGTGACGTAACTGAGCGTCATATCCCGGCACTGAGTCATGAACGTAACCTGTTTTCGCGCTCACCGGACGTCACACTTCGCGAGTTTATCGTCAAAGCCACAATAATTGAGGAAATTTTGACGATGTGAAATGAAGAGGCAAGGAGTACGACCGATTTTGGCGACACGTGGATCGCAATTCACAAAGGGCGGCAGAGATTAATAGTTCTAAATCCTGATTAATCTAGTGTACAATATTTAACAAAATGTACGACAAAACATCAGAAATTCATAATCAACTAGTGTAAAGCTTATTCCGTATCTGGTGGCGAACTGACAGTGACAGAAAAGACACTTGTAGTGCGCCCACTTAGTTAAGATAAAAAAATACATGGGCGTACTTTTTTTCTCTAAAAATTTTGAAGACAAGGATTGTTAGGAATATCATTTTTGAAAATTTCTTTTCATGCCTTAACAATTTAATAATTTGTTCATCATTCCTCATCTTATGTACGAGTACCTACTTATTATATATAATTTTTTTAAAGAATATTAGTAGTTTGGTAATATTATTTCATACGACGCCTATGAACAATATTTTTTTTAATAGTAAATATATGCTTAGTGTCAAAATTCAGTTATTTTTGACAACGTCAATTCGCCACCAGAAGGCAGCGGCCGGAAATTAATGACAATTGACAATAAAATTGTGATGTTTGAATTTTATTGCCAGTGTTGGCAAATTACTTAACAACAAAAATCAAAAGTGAGGCAGTAACTTCTGGTTCTATACAGGTGGGCCAGAACTCGCTCCCCAAAAAAAAAGGTAAGATACCAGGAACATGGAAAAAATGTTAAAAAACATCTATCTATAAAAATTTTGAAGTTATGGGAGTTTAAATTTTGCACTTTGACTCTATTTATTTCTCTTGTAAAAATTATTTTCCAAGTTTTTTTGCTACAGGCTATTAGAAGAAGAAACGAGGAAGCTGTATCCTAAATTGTAACTGTTTAATGTTATTTGTGGCATTGTGGCTTTTATTGCCAAAATTGTTGTACCTTTACTATAAATAATTATATAAAAAATACATACATACAAGATCATTAAATAGACATAAAAATGGCAAATGTCAAAAAATAGATGTCACAATTTTTTTACAGAATTTTTTAAATATTTTTTCCTAATATCTTCTCTTACTTGAAATTTTTTTCTGGGGCCCGAGTTCTGACACACCCTGTATTATTTAGTGTTACCAAAGTAGCAGGTCATTTGATAATTCTCGTATCTTCTGTGTCCACATTATTCGATGTTCGTAATTTAATTGTACGAGTACACATGGTATTTTTGGGAGCATGCTTTCAATTTTTATGACTGTATGGGATTAACAACCGACTTCAGTGGAATTTTTTCCCAAAAATCCCAAAGTCCTGCTAATTATATCTATCCTCCGTGGAGAAATCGGAACGTGTTATGAGTGTGTTACACTCTGCATGTGATCGATTGGTCATCCCGACAGCGGACGTTACCATTTTTAGTAGCGAATTGTGGGTGTATCGAGACATGATGAATTAATGAATGTATATTTAAAGAAAACTGATTCATTAGAGTAATTGACTTGCAATTTTTCGATCTATTTTTGGTGAAAATGCGTTTATTCCAATGCCCACGAAGTTATTCAAAGTATTCACCAGAGATATTTATTTTGCGTTCGTTTATAAGGAAAAATATGTATCCAAATTTGGCTCCTAGGAAAGCTTCGCGTAGGCTGGATATTATAATATCACCTACGCTAATCCGGCATGTGTTAACATAAAAAGGAGGAAGAGAATCGTGACGTGTTAATTGTAGTATTAAATCTCAAATTAGGTGTTGTATACTGATTTCGTAAGCTGAGAGTGTCCAGCACCGGAAGCCTTTCGGCCTTCAAGTGGTTACACAGTTGAATTGTCGTTTGTATTTTCAATAAGCGACGTTTAAAAGTTTCATGTTAAGGCCATCATGCGAGTTGTTATATCACTTAGATCCCACACCCTTTCATTACGAGGCCACACTTGAAATTAAGTGCCCCTTTTCCGCTATAAGTTTTGTATACTTTAAATTACAAAATTATTAATTAGGTATATTGTCACATACGTAGATGGAGAAAATTAAATTCGAGGCATAAATACGGTTTTATACTGTGTTTTAAAACAATATATCAGCCTTCAATCATCAAGAGTTTGAAAAAAACCTGGGTGTCCTTTGACTTTTTGCAGAACAAACATTTGCAGAGTGGAGGAAATGATTCAAGTGAAAAAGTTGACCATTTGAGATATTGATGATGATCGATTACGTTTGTGGTAAGACGTGTCTCAAAAATGTTAATAGAAAGATGTGTTTCAAAAACCTTCTATTTACTCGAACCGTTTCCTCCATTCTTCATAACATGTTTTACCCACGACTTTGATCTTTACAATAGATGTGGGAAAATATGGAGGTTTTTTTGTATATAGAAAAGTGCCTGATTTGCCACCCTACTTTTAGGTCTTCACTTGATCATGGAGGAAAAACGGTATGATGTGGCAAAAGATATCAAAGAGACCAGAAATATGTACTCGAGAAAGCACTCACGAAAAATTATTTCTAAGGCTGTTTAGTAGTGTAGCTGTGTGGAAATTTCTGAGTAGCAACTCATGAGAAGTACTTTGTGTCATATTTCTATTTTTTTTAATAAATTCGTTTAATTTGTTCATTCACGGATATTTTTTATCAAACCTCGTAAAATTATAAGAAAATCACAATTACACGTAAAGTAATATGTATCAAATTCAAAATATCAAAATAAATAACTACTAACTGTAATATATAGCATAATGACTACAAGATCAGATTTACAGATCTTTCTTAAAAAAAAAAAAAAAAAACTAAAAAAGGCAATATTTGTGGGTGATGGGTGGTTTCTGAAACAAGTGCCTAGCACAAGTTTTGAAATCAAATGTAAAAAGTCAGTCTCTTATATTTTGGATTTTTTTTTATGTTTATCTAAGAATATTACATACAATTGACTTATAAATCCGGAATTTTTAAATTTTGCCTCAGGGATTTAGGAGAGTTTTGGTAAAAAAATTAAAACTTTGAAAAAGTTTTTATTGGGGTATAGCAGCCCGTATAGTAATCACCGTCTTTGTAATTACCATTAACTACGTCAATTTATAAAACAAGTGACTCATATGGGACTCTTGAACTACATTTCCAAATAGGTGAAAGTTGTGACCTGACATCAAAAATTCGGAATGTCTGTTCCGTTTTAATCGAAAACGGATGCGGTTAATTAATGATAGCACTCGAGAGCTTTTAAAATTCTTGCAATATCTTTTGAGATTAAAATTCAAAAAGCGAAACAACCTTACTATATCCCAGTTTGATAATCCTGTGGTGGGCATCTTCATTCATAAATGTCAGATGAATGCCGGGCCAGAGGATCTATTTACGTCCTGGATATTTTATTGGTTTAAAAGTGATGACGCAATCTGCATGCTTCTGGATCCTATTTATAGATATGAGTGTGACTATCAATAAATTCTTGAAATAATGCGACTAATGTGCTATTTGTACACATGACGGCCTTTTTCGCTCAAACACTCAAACCAATTTACATAAAAACGTAAATATTTACCCGGGGATACAATGAGTATTTTTCACGACTGCAATATGTCATTTAGCACGTGATCTTGAGATAGGTATTTCCTTAGGTATTTCTTCCAGACGCCATGTTGGCGCAAATATTCCTTACATTAAGTACACAGATCGATTACAGATTTTTTACATTGCATACATTTCTACCGAACATCGAATGCAAATGCTTAATTTGCTCCGAAAAAATTAGAATSGTTTCGTGCGAAAATATCTCGAAGATTTCTTTGATGTCTCAATCTAAAATCGGCAATGACGCAGTTTTGCAAAAAAATGTAGCCCACATATGAATAAAAAACGCTGCTCATATGTTAATTTGTTATTTCTGTTCCAGGAAAAGAACTCCTTCCTGAATTACAACGTATCCTGTATCCTGACTTTGCCTCCCTATCAACGACAAGGATATGGAAGGCTTCTTATCGAATTCAGTAAGTGTTCTTTGCATGCTAGAATTACCATTAGCCAATATTCTAATTTAGTTTTTGCATAAAAGTCATAAATCTAGTCATTGCATTGCATATTGCATGGCCAGGTATCTTTTATTTTGTGTTTTCATAATTATTTATAGAGAATCATTCATCACTGTTACCTTGCGACAAGGTAAAAATGAAATTCTTTTCGTAATAAAAACAAAAATGAGAAATGAATATTAAAATAACTCCGACGTTACGAAGAATCAGTGAAAGGACTATAATTATGGCCGTATATCTGAAATCGCTGCTAAAAATAGCAAAAAAAATGTGTGTGAAAGTGGGTGGGACAAACCGCAAATTTTAAAATGTCGATGTTTTAATTATACGGTCCTTATAATTGGATAAGGATAATTAATACGAAAAACGGAAATATGAAGCTTAAATTGTAATACCCTGTAATTATTTTATAATAAATAATAGAAGTAATACAATATTTTTGTAAAACATTTTTTAGTTCAGAACTGAATTGAATTCTTTGTCATTGGCAGGTGTTTTAGAATGTTTGTATATTTAAAACTTCGTTATTAATTTAATTTAATTTGCTTCGGGTCACAAATTTTGATCCAGTTAACTCATTACAAATTTAAAAAAATTAATACAGCCGTAAATTATAAATTAACTCTTTTGTCGTCGCTGAATTAAATTATTTACCAAGTTTTTGTTCCGAACTTGTTAATATCTAATTAAAACAACACTGAAAATAAATGTAATTATGAAAATTTTTCCTAGTTTTCACAGTTACCCTCAAACGCTCTATTAAAGAATTATTTGCCTTGGCTGTAATTTGAACTGTAGTCTGAATTTTTTTACTAGTGACCTCACTTTGGTCTATTTAATTGCAAGCTATTGGTCACAATTAATGTCTGCGAACTCTCCCCGACTGCCTTTATTGCCTTCAATACGCAATTACCGAAATAAAAACGTGTAATTATTTGTTAAAATGAAGTTAAGCGTGAAGTGGCGGCGATTTCGCCCCCGTGGAGGAGAAAATGATCCCCCAGACAAAAAGACTCGAAGACACACAGAGACCGGATGAACAAAGCGATGCGGTCCGACAGACGGGAAATAACTAACAATGCAAACACGAGTTCAAGTTTCGTAGATGCTTTATTTTATACGGAAGGAACAGCATCATACCCTTGATTATAATTAATTGCAGTTTTAATTATGACAGCCGGACTGGATGATTTTAATTTATAATAACACAAAAGCCGTCATTATTGTTATTAATGGTGTGGCTGCAAGAAACTGACGCTAAACATTGCTAGTTGTGAAAATGCGAAACGAAAATGAAATTTTAATTGAGGAAGTCGAGGCTCTGTTGAGTGGAGCAAAATGGTCATTTGTGCACCAAGGGCGCAAATGTTACGCTTTAAAAACTGAAAGAAAGATTTGTAAACATAATGATCAAAGCTTTAAGAATTTCTGCAACCCAATCCATGTTTTTTAAAGTTTTGTTGTYCAAACCTCTTATCTAGTTTTTATCGTATGATCTATTTGTGTAGGACCAATCGATTGAATATGATTTATCAATTATTGGGGGATTTTTTTTCAAAATGGTGGTAATTTTCTAGCAGTAAATGAGTTTCCCTTTGAAATTTCAATTACCGCTGGCGTGCTTCTAATCGGATGAAATGAAAAAGAGAAGACAGATTGGTCGTTAAAGCAACCGAGGGTAAAGACCAACGCCAGACTTGTGGTTTGAAGGGTGTTTGCTGGGTGTGGGGTCCAGAAGAGTAGTTGGAACCCGGCGAGGACGAACCAAACACAGCTTCAGCAGACTTTTAACCCCCATCCAGTCTCGCCGGGTCACAGCCCTTTGCGTATGGATCCGTCTGGCAATCCAGACCTACCCTAACGCATGTCGGGCCAAAGCCCCTGTCTGCAGCCACCTGTAAACATCGTGCGTAACTCCCACTCCTACTAAAAAAATTGTTGCCCTTTTTCCTCCTGTGTTAATTAATAAATCCATGAGTGCCACTATTTCTACTTAATCCTACTTATGAAGTTTTAAATGTTATTGGTTGTACGATTGTTGGTGGGGGCTAAGTGGCAACTCTTCTACTTTTTTAGAACTATGATCGTCTATTCACGTATGTGATTGGAGGGCATGCACGGAAAAAAGCGTGAATTTTTGAATGAATCGGTCTTACGCGCCGTAGGCTCGAATCGGGGGGCGACGAAATCGTAATTAGTCGGCGTTTTAATTGGCAGAGTTGAGCCGGTTCGAGTTGGGCGTGGCGTCTGGCGTGACGTCACTCATTGACGCCGCCGCGACGCGAGTACGGAGCTCGTGCCGGCGCCAGACGTCGGTATCGACCGAGTGAGGTCAATAATCTCCCCCCAGGCCCCACCACTCCGCAACGGCGCGCCGACTTCGACAGATTATTCGTACATTGTTGCTAACTACGGGGACCAGAGTTGAATTTACACTCTGTCGCGGATTTGTGGGGCGGTGGAGGGTGATGTTCGATATTTGGAGATGGGATGAGACGAGACGTCTCAGGTCACGGGCACTCCACACTCGGACCCAGACATGATACTTTATTCTATTAAAAAAAAACAAAAAGGAGAAAAATGTGAAATATTAATGTTTTATTTAAAAAAAAAATTAAAAATCAAAATCTTAAAGACTAACATATTAAAAAAGGACGCACCATTGAGCGCTCGATACAGCAGATTGACCAGAATCCTCCCTTCATGGCTGTTGGCTGTCTCAGATAGAATATAAACAAACGTCCCCTTATTTATCTAGTCCAGTCGGCGTCCCATCTATAATATTTTCGATATAAACCCGTTATGCACCTGAAACCACAAGTCTAAAGGGATTTTGTTTACTATTTCTTCAAGGATTGAAGCAGGAAAGTGGTATCAATAGGGAAAGCTCACGAGACGTAGTCGAGTAAGCTGTCCTTTCTTAAACAATCCACAAGCGCCATATAACAATTTATACAGCGTCCCCGCATTATACGAATATTAATTAACAAGTGTTTCATAGTTTTAAATATTTAACATTACTGACACTGGGGTGAAAGGCGACAGTGAGTAAACTGAAAGAAAATTCACGTTGTTCCTAGCAGCGTGATTTTTGGTTTACAGTGGATAAACAGTTGTTTTGCTTATTTAAAATCTTTATGGTAAAACTGCAAAAAGCAGGAGATATTTATATTCTTCACTAACCAGTGGCGCAGCCAGAGATAGAGTTTAGGGGAGGTTTACCTATATAAAAAGATTTGGGCACTCATTTAAGCTTCATTTCAAAAAAGACGTTGAAATACCTTGATCTACAACAATTTCTCACAATATGCACAGTCAATGATGGTAAAAATGTAGCATAAACAGTGTCATAAAGAGCATTTTGTGTAATTGAAAACAGTCGCACAAAATGCCCATTCTGACACCGAAATAGAAAAAAGCTCTTATGCTTTTTTGCGTTTTCCCTTACTTATATGCTTTGTTCACTTATTTGTTCTTATGCTCTTTCTCTTTCTTATTATGTTTTGCATTCTTATTTGCGCCACCCGACACTCTCCATGTTTTGACTCAATATATTCACACAGACTTACACAACATTTTTCAAAAATGTATTTCTTGCATTTTGCAACATTTTGTACTTGAACCCTCAAGAGTGCAAATAGTTCGATTTTAAGGTCTTTAATTTTTTCGATTTTTGTGGAAATTTTGGGCGATTTTCGGTACCCGGAGCAGTTTACTGCTAATAACTTCGGAATTATTGACGCTAATTAATTTTATTTGGTCCTATGTAATAGATATCGGGAAAATTGTTAATAAAGTCAAAAACATCCAAAATATTAATTCAACTATAACTTCAAAACGATCAAGAATTTTGCAGTTTTCTCGATGCCAATCGATTTCTAGGAACAATTCATCTGTACCTATGCATAAAAACATTATAACGTTTGAGGTACAGTTTTACAATTATTACAAAATAAGAAAAGTTGTGAATTTTCTAATTTATGACAACATCGAAAATAATTATACACAAAATTCGGATGTTTAATTTGTTTGTTTATAATTTTAGTTTCATTACCACTATGAAATAATTTTGCCTGATTTTGTTCWGGGGAGGARTTTTTAACCCTAACCCCACCCCTCGCTGTGCCCCTGTCCCTGACATCAATTACTGTCAGTAATATTATAATTTATAATTGATATAACTAATATTGTTCRTACCCTTAACCCCAAACTATCAAACACCGGCAAACTACRGGAAATATTTATTRAAAATAAAATGAGTAAAACTGTGTCTACTTTGATTTAAAAAGTCTAGATTGTAAAACAATAAAGTTCGTGAGCAAAAAGGTGGAACATGTTAATTTCTMGTTTTCAATTACTCGACAAAAATGCGGATTTTTACTACAAAGGGTACACAATCGGTAATTGTTCAATGGTGTGAAATTGAGCGTTATTGCACACTTCATCCAACTCATACAGCTAATTAAAATCGAAAATTACTAGGAAGTAGTTGATAACATTACCTTGAGTGAGCACTTTGCATGGTTTTTCTAAGAAATGTCAATTTCCAAGATGATGATGATGAATACTCTGATTTCTAGCTTATGATGGTTTCTTTATATTGATAATTGATGAAGCGAAACTTGAAAAATGAGAATAGCCAAGAATACCTTCTAGATAAAAATCGAAATACCATTATTATTAGATTTTTTCAGAATTCAGGTTGAATTTTTAGAATCATCGYGTTGATATTTGATCACGATTAATTCTTTTCTGAGATCATTTTCAAGGTTTAGTTTAATCGCATCTCGGGTTTACTTCTCATCCTTTGAACGTCCTTACTTYTGCTTTAACGGTACTTGCACAATGCAAGTTTTTTTCTTGATTCTCAGTGAATTATAAGGATTATGCAAAATTATCCGGTTTGGAGGTTTCTTCATTTTTGGTAGGTTGTAATGTGAATGTTAGCGAATCGACCTTCTCGATTTTGAATCTCAATTGAATGTAGGATGAGAGTCATTATAGATCTAGCGATGGTCTATTATTTCCGTTAGAAATGTTTCTGCGATGATTAGTACAATCTGCAGGTGATACTAAAGAACACCCACCCACATTGTGTTTATGATTAGAGATAGCAATCAGCACSSTTCGGGATAAAAATGAACAAGCTATAGATGTGGAGCACGAATTTGTTCCGACTTTCTCGTACTAATTAGCACTTTATCTATAATTAAAAATAATTAAAAAATTATGATCGCCCTCGGTGAAAATCTCTTTCGTTTTGTTCCAGGTTACTTACTGACGAAAGTTGAAGGAAAGATCGGCTCCCCCGAGAAACCCTTGAGCGATTTGGGATTGATTTCTTATCGTTCTTATTGGAAAGACGTCTTGCTCGCCTACCTATGTTCTGGACCGGGCACACAGTTATCAGTGAAAGATATCAGCCAAGAAATGGCGATACACTCGTACGATATCGTCTCGACGCTCCAAGCTCTCGGAATGATGAAATATTGGAAAGGAAAACATATCATTCTCAAGAAACAAGACGTTCTGGATGAATACATCGAAAGAGTCAAAAAAAGGGGCTCGATGGTGAAAGAAGTGGACCGGTCGTGTCTCAGGTGGACGCCACCCCAACCCGCATCTCTTTGAAAACGCAACAAACTAGCCCACGAATGATATCTTTCAATTTATCCCTAATTATACTGCCGAATTTGAAAGACAATCATATAGGGGCCTTCGAGGGGACGACAAAAGTTCATTTGACACGTGTGGAGCCGCTCCCCAGTCCCGAGGGACGCCACTGCACGCTTTATTGGAAATCACATCAAGTCTTAACTGTTTCAAATGTGTTGCTTTTTATAAAATTTCAGCCATTCATACTCGAATATTATTTATGACTCTTCAATTACGAGTACTACCTTTCCAACAAAGGTCGTTGATTTTCAAAAGACTTTCAAGTGATCAAATAATTACATTAAAACATGCAGTTAACAACTGAAAACGCCGCGGGTTAACACGAAGTGTTGGAATCTAAATGGGACGATAACACTAAAAGCTGACAACTCGAGGGGTCTGAGACAGGAAGCCTGGTAGAAAATTTTATCCCTTTATTGAAATTTCAGGCGAACAAATTGTCGATTTATTTTATTTTATGTACTGTAGGTTTTAGGTAGTAGAGAAATTGTTATTTAAATGTAAATAAAAATACGTAAACTCATCAAGGTTGTCTTATTTTTACCCAAGATGAAAAAATTTCAGGAAAATTACTCCAAAAATTAGTTACAGTAGAATGCAGGTAGGTACTGAATTCACAAAAATGCCGGCAACGCTGAATTAGTGTCCAATACTTTCAGTTTGTTATGTTATCACACACTCTGATAAAGATAAAATCTTATTACATGCCACTAGCCCTGAAACTGACCTATTCAACGACATTTCTCCAGAAAATTCAAATAATTTGGGCAAATAACTGCCGAGCAATTTTAATAATAAACAGGGTTTTTTCGTCATCGAAAGTTATTTATGTTGCCTCACCAAAAATTTCAGTCTGCCAAAGTTTTGTAGGACTTTCAGTACAGAAATATTTTCTACGTTGTGTTATGACTTGTTTTAAAAATACTCCATGAAAGTAAGTACGTTTTTAAAGTGAGCCGATTTGAAAAGATTGTGGGTACGTTGAATATTTTCTTAGCGGACAATTAAAAGATGTAAGAGGCTTATTTTCGGAAATCACTTGTCATCATGGGTAAAAAGGTTTGCTTTTACATAAGCTGATTAGACAGAAGCGTTGATTTTTGAATTAGTCAATGATTGTTTTAATAATAAACATAATCTTGACAAATCTGTTTTTTAGTTTAATATTTGGTAAAATTAGAAAACAGTTTTATCCTTGACCAACCTAGACGCTTATAATTAAGATGAATCATGTTACTTGCGATTATAATCATCCTGGGCCTGCTAAAAATGTCCGTAGGAGTGCCCCTCTGTTTTCAACTCGGTTGATAATTTATTGGGGTTACGTTTGAAAAAATCCACTGGAAAATAACTCGACAATATTTATCACCTCAACTCGATAAATCGATAACCCTTCCAAGTRGTTCAGGTTCTCATTAACATAATTCTATRTTTTTTTATCAAAAGTTTTACTTTATTTGTTGYTCCACAAATCGAACAAATAAATCATAACGGTCTAGACAAACCGCGAAATACGTGAAGACATTTTAATCTTGCCAAGTCAAATAAAATCAACAATCTGCAATTTTTTGTTCAATTGTCACACTAATTTGTTGAAAAATAAATTATGAATGCGTTGACAGCTCATTAAATAAATACCACACTGGTGGAAATTGCATTTTGTGTTTAGATAGATAATAGTATATTAAGCATCAAGAACGATAAGGACATTTTACAGATCGAAGACAATTGTTTATTGTGTAAGATCGGTAAGTCCTTAACGTTCGTGACGCTTATGACATTTTTTTCGCAATTGATTTTTGTTAGTTTTTTTAATAAAATATCTAAAAAATGTTCTAGAGCGCCGAAATACTTTTTCTATTTCGGTGTACAATGAGCATCTTGTGCAACTGAAAACAGTTGCACAAAATGCAATTTTGTGACACTGTTTTTTGACGACATTTTATGCAATACTTTGACCATTACTGGCCATAGACTGTCGTGAGAAATTGTTGCAGTTCGACGCATTTTATCGAAACTAATGCCATTTAAGCTTTTTGGAGCAATTTGGGTACCGCATAGGTACGTCAAATGTCAAAAATTTTAACTGTCAAATAATGCAATAAATTCAATTTCAAAAGCGCTCAATAGAAAAAATTGTATAAAAAAACGCGTGTTACAACCTCTCATTGTGAACTCGTGCATTTGTGATACTCGTATCACAATGAGAGTGTTTGTATCACTTGTTTTTTAATATACTATTGGCGACGACTTTAAAGGCTTACCAACGAATTTGGGATAGCAACGAGTAAATACCGTGCCGTAAACCGTACCGTAAACAAATAAATTAGAGTAGGCGGTTTATTATTTATTATTTTGAGTGAAATAATGTTCACTTTAGAGCAGGGAATTTTTATTGTTGCAAGTTATTACAAAAATACTGTACAAGACGAAAACGGTGAATGGTCATTTTCACTTTCAGTTTGTGTGGAAAATTTCCAGCCCAGATTCCCAGCCAATATGTTGCCAACTGTAGAATTTAATCGACGCCTACTCTAATTTATTTTTTTTTATCGCACGGTACCACTTACTGTCTTGGATACAGACGTAGTAGACAATCAAATAGAGACTAATCACGCAAAAACAATTAAAAAAGACAAAGATTATTTCATGGAAAGGAAGTAATAAAGTAATTTAACTTTGTACTTAAATTTTATTACTGTTACAATTTTCAACGGCCTCAAAATAAATTTGCTTAAAAAAAGACTACTTACAAGACATAGTTCTGTGTATTATCTTGTATAAGAAAAATGTATGGCTGTTCTAAGGTAAGTAAATCAAAGATTATNAAGATGGTACGTCAAAAAATAACTTTATTTCAAACGTAATTATGATTTACATGTGTTATACATGTTGAAGACTAAAAACACTACAATTACTGTAATCATTAATTGTTTTAACATCTAAGTATACCTATAGTTTTAAACTTTTTAAATATTAATATATTCTAATGATGTTAATTCAGTTACAATCCTAATTAAGAAGGAGCCACTTCCTTATTAATTAGTAAGATTTATTAAAATCCTCATGTGTAGTGTAAATCTCTGGCTGAAATATTATGTTACAAGTGACCCACTCACTCTACATATGGAACTAGAAATAATTAAAACAAATAATAAATTAATGGCAATTACTCATGTTATCACAGGTGTAAATAAGACCTAAAGTAGAAAAATAAGATATGAGCAATTAGGGACAAGTGTTGATAAAAATTAACAATTTCCTTATGCATATTTGAATAAAAAAATTACTAGTGGTTAAAATGAATACATATTACGAATGAATTAAATTTAAACAAAAAATGGTTTTACTACTAAAATTTTAGATACTTAGTAAGTAGAGGAGTCTTATAAGAAGTCACCCGCCCGAAAATTTTAAAACCTGCTTTTATATTCTCATTTTAAGGACAGAAAAATTAAAAACTGTAAATGTGCAACACGTTATAAACACATCGTTTCAACAGTTAATTTTTATAGAAACCCGTATTAATGATCTCGTTTAAATGAGCTTAAATTATTGTGCAATTATTGTGAAAATGAGGATAAATTTTAATAAATCGTTATTAAATTATTTAAAAAGTGCCACTCATTATAGCATGCAGTTATAATTAATCAATTCAGTAAATGATTCGCACTTACTTAAAATAAATAAAAAAAAAACACGATCAAAATTTTTTGGCTATTAAAAATTGTGAGATTTGTACTTCTTTCTTTTCATCTGTTGTTAATTTCTCAATTTAGCAATTCCACTTTACTCCAATGTCAAATACCGTGAAGTTTTCTGCTATTAACTCTTATTGACGTAAATGACTTTATTACATTTAATTCTTCGAGCAGACCGATTAAAAAAGATATGTCTAGTCTTGCGTTACCTTATATTGAAATCTAGTTTTGTAGTTCTTTTTTCACTTCTTTCACATCTTAATACATCAGACGAACGGAAATGCCCACGATACCGTTTGGTCCATGTAGTTTTTAAAACCGGAAATCGTCACATTACTGCGGCTCGCTGGTATTTCCGTTCGGTCGATCCCCCCTTCTTTCGACAATGAAAATCTTAAAATAATCTCAATTATAAGTGGACATCAGGCTCGGTACGGTTCAATAATTAATAAAAGCACCTGCGAAATTTTAGGCACCTGTCACAGGACTTGTCCAAAATGTGTTGGATCTAATTATTTTAGGAGCAGCTGGTCGGCAGGATTTTTAATACGAATTTAATCGGCTTGAGGGAGATATAAGTACCCGATAAATGAAAATTTTGCAAAAAATAATAGTATGAAACTTGGATTAAAAAAAACATGTTTATGGACAATTATTTTAATGGAGGTCACATCCGTTTTCTACTTTATTCTTAGCCTTGGTGTGGGGATAATTTAGCATTTTTCTTAATTACGTTCCCGTTTTAAAATAATAATAAAATAGTGTAAAATTCATTAAATAAATCAGAAAAATTTAGTGAACGAAATTCATATTTCAAGCATCCGGTTGATTTTAAAATGTAAATTTTATTAAATTAAAAATCAGCTAGATACATGTCTGTTCTTTCATTAAGAATTATTATACCTACATAGAAAAACAACTTAATTCAAATTTTCATGCTAAATAGCAGTGGATAATAATTGGTAAATAACCTACACGAGGAAAAGAAGTGTTTTTTTTCCATATCCGTTTTGCGATTGTGTACAACAGGAAACGATTTAAATAAAAATTGGAAATTAATAATTCATAATTGATAACTGAGTTTGATAAAGTGACGGATGTCCGGAAGTGCAGTTTATGATTTTTATAGCGTACAAATAAATCATYCTGCGATTTTCTGCCACCTAAATTAATTATTTTCAATCGAATTTCCTATCCCAACCAAATCAAATCAAAAGTTGAAAAACGATATCAGGGTCTAGGAAAACTAAAACTGCGGTAGGTTAYGAGATTCGCGCATGCTTGGCAAAACTGCATAGCTGCAGTTTGTCTATACTGCGAAATGGTGTTGTTTTATACACTTTTTTCAGTGAAAAAATCTTGATTTTATTTTCATTATGGCCACTGTTGTGGAAAGGGTAAGTAAGGAAAAGAGTGTTTGTTGTGGTATTACGACTTTGACGTTTCTTACGACGCGTACGCCGACGCGTAATATTCCAGAAAACTATTTTATAAATGAACACGTCAATACACTGACTCTTGCTCAAACTAAATTACTATCAGAAGTAAAATTGATTGGAGGTTGTGATTCGGTGTATTGTTCTTATCAAAAATAATATTGCGCAATGTTATCTTGGATGTCTATGGCGTTGAATTGAATACGTAAAGTTGGTAAATATAAATCTATTAATAATTAACACAGGTGTAGTGACACTGACAACTACGTAGCGCATGTTTCTGAATTAATAATTAGACGAATTATTCGGTCACGAGAGTCCCCACTCCCTACACCCCTCCAAATTAAAAAAATAAATAAAATAGGTATATTGTAAAATAACACTTT